GTAGCCAGGTGCCACAGTCGTTGTTTCAAGTGACTGTGTCCGCCGTTATTTCAGCGTCCTTGTACAAATATAACATTTGAAAATCACTCCGAAATAAGTCGACACAATGATTTATTACTGTTATTGACGTTCAAAATTTGTACTATTATATATATTATACATTTACTCTACAATAAAATTCTATCAAATAATCTATAGACTATAGAGCCTTATTTTTATATTATGTTGGTCCAAATACTATACAGGTATTAGTATTTATAACACCCTGTATATTAAAAAAAACTATCAACATAACTTCTAAGTAAACTAAGAAGAAAATTATACTCATCAAAGTTATTTAGTACTCAGGTAATAAAATAAAGATTCATTTAGTATAGAGACAGTAGCTATTGTTATAACTATAAATTCGATACTTGTCAACTAGTCAATATCAATACTATTTTTTCGAACTGTCAAAAACGACAGTTTTCTATGAATTTTGTACGAGATTGTGTATTGTGACGTCACGATTTTTAGCGTCAAACAGCATACTTATTTATTAAAAAAATGCTGGAAATATACTAAAATTAAGTTGATCATAGAATCAATGAATGAAAGTGTGATTATTTTTTAATATTTTATTGTATTGAACAGTCGAAATAATTTATTTTTGATTAAGGAAACTACTCAATTGTATGCTTTGTACTGAAATCATATCTTGTGTAACCATTCCTTAACTTAGTAGCTAACCAATGGTTACTGTCTCTATACTGAATCTATCTTTATTTTCTTGTATACTAAATAACTTTGGTTACCGAAGTTCGTAAAATTTTCTTCCAATTATGTTATGTTAATATGTTCCCACATCATATAAGGCACTATTATTGCTTATTAATATAACTAATTATTATTATAATAATATAACATCATGTTAGTAAAATTATCACAGAATTTATTTGAAACCTGTTCTTAAGTGTTTTAGTAGGGAACCTTGATGATCAAATATTATACCCGGTACTAACTTGGTCAAGATTTTGTTATATTTTCTCATTATTTCTTATTAAACTAGCTATCAACAAAAATTCCTTTTTTTGTTCATACGTTAAGCGAGTTTGTATGTTAACTTGTTTTTTAATCTACAATATTATCTGGACTTTAAAAGAGACGGACCTCTGAGTTTGTTTTGGCATTTCTTCTCAGAGTAGTCAGTTAGGAAATGTCGACCTCATCGTTCGCTTGATAAATTGACGTGTAAAAGTGCTGCCTTGCAGCCAATTTGCAGAAGTAAATTCACTTGTTTCAATCACGTCAAAGCGGCTTTGATCCCTTCAAAATGTAATTTAGAACAGCGGGGTTATGACGTCCCTAAGTCAAAATGGTTCCATTGAGGGAAAGAAACAGAGCTATACAAGGCGTCTAGCGACATCTCGTTCCCTCAGCTGAACCACTCTGGCTGTAAGACGTCATAATACGCCACCTGGACTTTAAAAACACTTACTACTTATTCTATCACGACTAGCTTTTACCCGCGGCTTCGCTCGCGTCACAAAAGGATAAAAAGTATCCTATGTGACATATACCAATACACACAGCGCCATCTATACCAATAATTTCGTTTTCCCTCGAGAATATAATTTTTTTCCGGGATAAAAAGTACCCTATTACTTAATCCAGACTTCTAACTTTACGTCTGCATAAATTCAAAGCAATCTGTTAAGTAGTTACGGCGTGAAAGCGGAACAAACAAACAAACTCACTTTCCGATTTATAATATTAGTAAGGATAACGCGGAAGAAGCCGCCGGCAGAATTTAGCTATGAAATAATGAGAGAATACATAATGTGCGAACATACCCCATTCACGAAAAAATCTTGGCAAGTTACATGTTAAGCACTGTCTACAGGGCTATTAATAATTTCGTTATCAAATGGTTATCGAACTTAGGGCTCCACATTTAGAGGTATGGATAGCTACCACAACTTACAAATCGTGAGACATACTAAATTAACTAAAAATCGCGGGTTACTCACGTGAATATACTGAGAAAAGCTCTATTAGTTCCAGTACTACAGTCTGGCAAACGAAAGTAGAGACTGAAAAAGCCCGGCAAATTAAAAAAATATCAGTATAGCAACCCAAAAATTAGTATGTCATACCTGGAGTAACCAAACGTGAAGACGTAACAAACAAACAAATTATTATAAAGTATCAAATTAGGTTACTCCAGGTATGACATACTAATTTTTGGGTTGCTATACTGATATTTTTTTTCATTTGCCGGGCTTTTTCAGTCTCTACTTTCGTTTGCACGACTCTAGCATCGTGCGCGATCGCGGCGACGTCGCGCAGCTCACTGAAGCGCACGCTGCTCATGAGGAAGAACCCCTCTGTGGTTCGAAACTAGTAGAGCTTTTCTAAGTATATTCACGTGAGTAACCCGCGATTTTAGTTAACTTACAAATCATCATAAAATAACTTTGACAGCTTAAATTTTAGTCTATATCAGCTAAAATAACGTAAAACATAAGTTATCATATTTGTATGTGATACGAGCAGACGGATCACCTGATGGTAAGCAAGCGCCGTCACCCGTGGACACCCGGAACACCAGAGGTGTTACAAATGCGTTACCGGCCTTTAAAAGAGACATCGGTAATCTCATACAGCGTGACACGCTTTGGTATTTCCACGCCAATTTTCTGTGACGCCGTGGTATCACTCCGGTCGAACCTGCCCATTCGTTTTACACTTTTTCATTACCTAACACTTTATAATTTCGTAGATTCATATTTAAAACCTTATATACAAATGCTATAGAGTCCATTATAGTCTAAAATACTATTTATTTTTAATATATTTTGTACCTTATTTATTTAAATGCGAAATGATAATGACTGTAAGAGCACCGTATTAAAACTACCAAGTTTTTGAAAATATGAGCAATGACTTTGACAGAGTTCGAAAAGGCAATCAAGTTGTCTAGTATGTAGACAAGAAAAATAAATTGATTCAGTACAGAGACAATAGATATTGATATATCAAATAGGGTATGAAAATTAAAAATCTAATTAGTCCGTCAGTTAGATAATGAAAAAATATTACACATATATTTTTTTATTTTGTCGTATAATAAAACAATACTTAGATAAAACGAATCAAAGCTTCGGAGTGGGGGCTAAAACGTCATTTCTACGTATAAAATGTACATAGAAGTGACGTCACGCGACATTTCACATCAATATATCGTCGAAAGTATTTGTTTCCGCAAGAAAATAAAAAATACGTGTCTAATGTTTTAAAATGATCTACAAGACGGACGTTAAAATAAAAATGAATCATCTACCCAATTGTATGATTTGTACCGAAGCCATATCTTGTGTAACCATTCGTGGACTCAGTAGACAACGCATGGTTGCTGTCTCTGTACTCAATCTATCTTTAATTACTTGCTTGAATATTAAATAACTGTACAAACTGTACGTTTGTCATACTTCTATTCCTAAACCGCTGAACAAGACGCTTACTCTTGAAACCAATCTCATTGTCAATGCAATTTCAATCCAATAAAATCTCAATAATTATTCAATGTCAACACTATACAACCCCCCTATCATAGCATAGCGTTCCGAGTACGGAATATAAAGCCAAACTCAATACCATTTAGTTCATTCAATATCCACGCAATACGGATGCAATGGGCGCTAGTGTTACAACTCAAGAGTACGAAATTTCACAATACCAATGTCGATCGATCGGAATTGGATTCAAGAGTAGGCCTCCCTGATTTTGATGAAATTTGGTACATATATAGATTGTTTTGAGACTGCTTAAGTGTAATTAATATTAGAAATGAGATTTTTGATGGTATTTGTCCAATAATATTTGATACTATTGAGCCAAATTTAAAAACCTTTCCCTGTTATTTTTTCTAGAATAACACAAATATTATCAAATTAGTTTTTCTCAAATACATATATAAACTTTCTACAATTCTTACTTGCGTGGCCCGGAGGTTTAAGACGCCCGCTTCTCATGCATGCGAGTACAGTACAAGTACAAAACCTCCCAACGGCAAGTACCAATGTGACTTTTTCCGAGTTATATATATATATACTTTCTAAGATTATTCAGACACCACTGACAAACGATAAAGGAAAACATCGTGAGGGAACCTGGGCTTATAACTTCTAATTATAAGTTTGAAACCGCCAACCCGCATTGAGCAAGCGTGGTGATTAATGCTCAAACCTTCTCCGTGCGAGGTCTTTGGTCAGCAGTGGGCATTTATAGGCTATTGATGATGATGATAATGGTAATTCTTACTGTACCAAATTTCATACTCCTCTGTTTGAGCTATTTACATAAAAACGCTTACATAGTAGATACAGTACAACTACTACAAAAAACAAAAGAATTAAATACATTTTTGGTTACATACACGCTAAACTTCGGTATAATATTAATACCTATAAGAGACATACTAAATAAATGGGGGCTACCGTTCTTTTGCTCACCACATGGCGGAAATGTACTAAGATTTTTTTGTCCAATCAGACATAACATAAAATCACGCCTTTTATCCAAAAAGAGGTGGTCCACATTACGGCACTTAATGCCACTATACAATGTAACACCCACTTTTCACTATTTATGATATGAGTCCCATGCAATAGGGGCCTATTGCCATATACCGGACACGATTCCAGACTCTATGTGTCTCTATGTATCTCATATCTCTGTGCTATTACTGAGATTTATTTGAAAATCCCAGCTATACTTTGCCCGGCCTGGGAATCGAGATCGAGACCCCTTGCCCGGCAGTCGCACTTGCGACCACTCGGTCAATTCAATCACAGCAGTTGTCAAATATTGACCGTCCAATGGACACTATCTAATTCTTTAATTTTTTTAAAACAATAACGTTGACCCGCACTTGGATTTCCTCCTGTATCGTGTGTGCGTTTACAAACATACAAGTTCACATACACATGACACCCAGACCCGAAACAATAATCTGTGGATCACACAAAGTGTTGTTCCGTGTGGGAATCGATACCGCGATACGTTGCGCAGCAGCCGTTGCCCAGCCACCGTACTAAACGTGTAGTCGAATCCTATTGGACGAAGCGCGTGAGGACTAGCACCATCTAATGAGCGAAAATACGGTAGGGCCCAAATCGGATTTGTAGGATGAATGTTTTATTAAATGACGCGTCACGGACGGAAGGCCTAATTATAATAAAATTAATACACAGGTCGCACCGCATTGCTCTAGATTAAGAGTCCCGGTGTTACTCGAAAGTAGTCGAGCGATCCTCGAAAAAGCGAGTTCGTCTTATATTTTAATTTTTACATAGTAAATATAAATTTAATTGTATATTCAGGCAACTCGTGAAATATGGGGTAAATAGGACCAGCCTAAGAAAACTGAGGCCATTTTTGCGAACACATGTCAAATGTAACACCCACTTTTCACTATTTATGTTATGAGTTCCGTAATAGGGGGGAGTCTATTGCCATAGCAGACTCGTGCCCGGGCCAGTTTTCAACAACATCTCTTAAATTTTGAGGAACCCCTAAACTAAAATAGGTGACAGTTAACGACATTTTGGTTTTCAGCAACCTATAAGTGACACCTAATGGTAAGACGTTAGTTTGGATGCTCCCCATCATTAAGTAACTCTTAGTTAAGAAATGGTTTAGGGGTGGTAGGTGAAACCGTGTATCACTTCTATTATTGGGGCTGTTTTGATTAGTAATATTTATATATTATATTATTTGTACAAAAGTTTATACCAAATATTAAAATGAGGCGTATGAAAATATTTTGGGATGAATGGAGATTATAGAACGAATGTAAATCCTAAACCGGTAGGTATTATAATCTATTTTTATCCACAACTACCTCCATTACGGATATTTTGTGGGATAAGCCAGCTACAACCTCCCAAAACCGCTGCAACTCTTGTGCACCAGGATCTACAGTAGATACACCCATGAAAACACCGGAACATGAATAACTGTCTTGGTTCCCACAACGAAATAAACCACAAGATATTAATAGACAAGAAGTAAAAAACTATAGTTATCACTTCCCTCGGTGAATATCAAACGAAAGGGCTTGATTGGTACAATATAGCTCGTTAAACATAGAAAATATTGTCACTATGTAGTGATTGTCCAACAGTATTCACTTCTCCATTCACCCGTTACTTGTTTAAATTACACATTTGAACTACAATTGCCACAACTTTTAACTTGAGCTTCTAACTGAGCCAACCTCTTCTGTAAATGCAAAATGGTCGCATCTTTTTGTTTCAGCTGCATTTTTAATGTGCTTATTGAGTCTTCTAGGGCTCCATACACTGCCTGGACTTCAGGCTGATAACTAAATACTTGAGGGGGCTCATCTAAGCAGAAGAATTCACGAACAACAGGATGGTTTGGGAGCTTCATCAAAATAGCGTTCACGAAAATCTGCAACCCTCTCACTCGGTCTTCTAGAAATGCTGGTTCGAAATTATCACGAAACCACCTCTTTCCTGGCAGCGGTAAGTTCAAATTCGGTTGTTCAGCCTTTATTCTAGAATATAATCTTACAAAATCGGTGTACCGACGGAATACTAGCCAGCTTTGATCAGAATTATCATCTTCGACTTTGAGTTTGTATATCGTGAACCGAGCTCTCTCTTCCATAATCTCATAACCAACTATAGGTATTTGTAACGACTCGAATTTCTTAATATCATCCCTGTGTAGGCTCAAATCTATATTGCTGATACTGCTTTGCAGAGATCTAATGTCTCTGTATCCTTCATTTAAGTTCCCTGTACTTTTATAATGATTTCTAGCTTGTAAGTTCCTCTGACGTGGTCCCATTTCATTGTCCGATATAGCAGTTTCTTTATAATGCTTTTTGTAAACTTTCGTTAATCTTTTTACTGGGACGTTTGTATCGTCACTCGAAGTGGAAGATACTTCGTTGTTCATGCCATCTCTATTGTTATTCGGATTTTGTACTAAGTCCATTTTGTACTGCCGTTTTAACCTGTAAAGAAACAAAAAATATTAAATGTTGTATACCGATCAGATTCGCAGGCTTTGTAGCAATGAGACTATCACAGATGGGACCCAGTAGGGGTTATGCCCAGTCGGGGCTATGGATAACCTTACGGGTTACCGGGGCCGGGGCACCAGCTCGGAATATCTACCTCACGGTAGGATTTAAAATTTAAGTTAATGGTTAAATCGACTTATAAATATTCAAAACATACAAAAATAAACACTTCAACTAATTTAAATATATTCTAATTACATCAGGTACGTACTAACACTAATTAATTAATTTTATCTTAAAACCACTTTCTTTAGAAATGAGACTGTCCTACTTTAGAACAATAAAAAGTAAAAAACTAAGTATTATTTTAACTTTCTATGCGAAAGTGTAATACTTGTATCTCATTAAAAATCTCAATAAATATTGTATAAACATGTTTTACGTATCTTGGTGCAGCTTGAAGGCTCGTACACAAAACTGCGATGCGATGCGAATTCGCAACACAAAAAAATTACGATGCGACTTGCTGCGATGCGATTTCGTGCGACAAGGCGTCTCCCTGGGTGACCATTCCTTCGACGACCTTCAACCGTATTAAACGTATTTTAAATTAAAATCTAGGGCGTGACATGGATCGTAAAAATAAGTGTGCACTTCTGCATTGCTTAAGAGATACAGGAAAAAGAAACAAAGAAGATTTCGATGCGCGATGCGAAACAATTCGCAAATTCTTGCGAAGCGTAGAGGGAGCTTGTGCATTTTTGCGACGCGAAATCGCATCGCAGTTTTGTGTACGAGCCCTGAGACCCTAGAATGTCGCAAAATGTGGTAATCTGGATTGCCGTGTGGTGACGTAAAGTAGAAATTAGACTGCATTGATCACTACTAATACTTTTCCCGTTGGAACCTATCGTAAACACATACTACTTCTTAGTTTAACACGTTAAACGCCATGAGGGTCACCGGTGACCGACGTTAGCGGAGGATTTACCTTCAACAGTTTTTTATTGGCAGTCAAAGTCTTAATTAGAACTAGCGACCCGCCCCGGCTTCTCACGGGTGCAATATCCATGTATTATACATATAACATCAAAATCCGTTGCGTAGTTTTAAAAATATAAGCATACATAGGGACAGACAGACGGCGGATAGCGACTTTGTTTTATACTATGAAGTGATTAAACCTGATACTTTTAAAACTATGACATTATTCTACTTCATCAGGTTTTCTCTAATTCATCCGCGAATTCGTCCGCGTAGAATATGAATATTGGAATATAACTTTAATATAGTACAATTTTCCAAAATAAAAATAGTCTATGTTAGTCCTTAGTACATCAGCTACCTGTCAATAAAAGGCTTATAAAATCGGTCCAGCCATTCCAGAGATTAATTAGCCAGTACAAACAGACGGATAGAGAAAAATTGTAAAAGATGTTATCTTAGTATGTGTATCGTATGTATATTCTTAAGCATGTAGTAAAAAGCAGTTATTTTAATATTACAAACAGTCACTCCTAATTTTATTTATCTGTATAGATGTATAGGTTTTTTTTTTAAGGGGGAAAATCATCGAATGACTGCTCCCGCCTGGGTGAGGCGGGAGGGAGTGTCAGACTCTTACTGACTAAAAACCACCCCGTTCCTTCTCCTGCACGTCGAGTCGGAGCCCCGGTTACCCGTTAGGTTCTCCGCGACAGATGTATAGGTATAAAGTTACCTCAAGAGGTAGGTTCATAATTCAAGAATCACTCTATTAAAATATTACCCTCCTTCTTTGGCAGTCGGGTAAAAACGATCGCATCACAATCCGTTGCATAGTTTTAAAGATATAAGCATACAGACACACAGACATAGGCGGCGGAAAGCATTTTGCACTATGTAGTGAAACCGCCAATCAAAGACACAAACACTACACACCTACATAGAGCCCTAGATTAATGTACTGCATGCTATCATTAATAAATTATTATTAGCAACAATTTGACCTGACATTAGATATCACTTAAAATGTCAGCAGTTTACGGCAAATACTTATTTTATATGTATGTTAATGTATGTAAACAAACTTGTTTTGATCACTATGTCAAGTTCCGTATTAGATAACATTCTAGAATCAGAGAATCTATAAAAAAGAATAGCTTCTGCCCGCGACTTCGTACGCGCAATCTCTTTTTCTCCCGTTCCCATAGGATTTTTGGGAATTTTTTCTATCATAAGAACCTTCTCCTGACAATAACAAACAACAAAAAAAGAAACAGCCAAATCGATCTAGCCGTTCTCAAGTTATGGCGTGACAACGGGAAACAGGTTTTATTTTTATATATTTATAATTAACAATAAAATATTCAATATTTTTTCTAAGATATTTATTTTTCAATCATCCGATGACTTCGTCCATCTGGGTGAGGCGAGAGAGAGTGTCTGGTCAAGGTGATCTGAGACATTATATAGTGAACTTGGGTCTCCTTTTTTATGGTAAACGAGCAGACGGATCACCTGATGATAAGCAATCGGCACCCATGGACACCCACAACACCTGTGCGGACTAACAAGTGTGTTGCTGGCCTTTTGGGGGTAATTTGCAGATAGGGGATTTAGGAATTGTTTAGGGATTGGGGAAGAGTGGAATTGGGCATTTCTTCCTTGCTTAAGCCTTTAACTGCCGACAGAAATTGCTAAAGGCTAATCCCCCCTTGGCGTCGGTCTTAATTGTCCGACACGGCATGCAATGTGTTAAAAACTATATTTCTAACCAAATGACTTGCAAAACAGCTTACTAATACTATAAATGTCGCGGACAACCTTACGGGTAACCGGGGCTCCGGCTCGACGTGCAGGAGAAGGAACGGGGTGGTTTTTAGTCAGTAAGAGTCTGACACTCCCTCTCGCCTCACCCAGGCGGGAGCAGTCATTCGATGATGTTCCCTCCTTAAAAAAAAAACTAATACTATAAATGCGAAAGTTGGTGAGTTTGTGTGTATGTTTGTGACTCAACCACGTCAAAATTTTATTTTGGTTGAAAAGTGTTGTTCTCCGGCGATTCCGCGGCCGGATACCTGACACCGCGCAGCACACGAGGCCGGCACAGCACAATAGTCGTGATAATTAGTGTTTAAGTTTAACTCGTTGAGTACCGTCATTATAGACACAATTATAGAACAATAGGTTGCGGTCACCGGTGTCTTCGTGGTGTTTGACAGTTTAAATTTATTACTTACATTATGTATTTACAGTATTTTAAGTTAAAATTGTATATTATAGTATTATTGTATTTTAATATGGGCGTTGGGCGTTCGTTGCCTGATACAAATAAATAAATAAAAAAAAGTCTAAAGAGATTGAGTTGAAATTAGGAAGAGGGTGAGATTTTGGTCTAGAATAACATAGACTACTTTGTATCCTATGAAGACGCATGAAGCTGCGGACAGAAGCCTAGTATCTTATACTATTTTATAAAGCGGAAGAGTTTATTTTTTGTTTGTTTATTTGTACGAATGTGCTAATCTCCGTAACTACAAGTCTGATTTGAATAATTCTTTTTGTGTTGGATAGCGCATTTATCGAGAATGACTATAGGCTATAAAACATCACGCTACGACCAATAGAAGCTAAGCAGAGCGTGTGAAACGTAGTAAAAGTAGCTAGTTTTATATACATGTATAACATTACAGAGATTCTACAATGGTTAACCAACATCAAGGAATTTCCATCTATTGTGTTTATGCAAAAGATAAACTAAGCAATAATAACTGTAATAGTTCAGTTTTATTTTATTATTATTGTTTCTTTAAACCTTGTGAAGAATGATAAAACTGCAGAAAAATATGCATGAAGTCATGACTTTGTCAATATCTTTTTCTTTTGTTATTGTGGATTATGGCAATATGTTCTAAAAAATAACCCACTCGTTTAGTTGGAGCTAAATAACCTGGCTATTTTAATGGACTTCTTCGAGGGCCAACCAATTGCTGAACTATTCAGCAAACCCTCCTTTTGGCTCAGTTTTACGACTTATGTCATAACATAACATTACGCCTTTTATCACCGAAGGGGTAGGCAGAAGTGCATGTTATGTCACTGTACAATGTAACATCCACTTTTCACTATTAATGTTATGACTTTAAGGTAATACAGGGTGAGTCTATTGCCATATACCAGGCACAATTTCAGACTCCGTGCTACTTCTAGAATTTGTTCAAACCCAGTAAGTATTAAGCCCAACCCGGGAATCGAACCAGAGACCCGTTGCCCGGCAGTCGCACTTGCGAACACTCTGCCAACAAGGCAGACTTTATATCAATGAAAAAACAATATGTTTTGTATTATTTCAGCATATTGATTATTTACAACTATGCAGATTCACCCGATCTGCATGGTTCCTATTGATTGGACAGTGATGTTTTATAGCCTACAGCTGTCATCAATAAATGGTAGCACATTGGATAGTTCCAACATAAAAAAAATCTTTCAATTCAAATCAGTAATTTTAGAAATTAGAGCATTCAAACATACAAATGCTTCAGCTTCATTTAAAGTTGCATTTTATTTACAGTCTAATCTTATTAGCGTCATAAATCATCATCAACAGCCTAGAAGTGGCCATTGCTGACCAAAGACCTCTTCTCATATAGAGAAGGTTTGAGCATAAATCACCATGCTCAAGGCGGGTTCGCGATTTCAAACTTATAATAAATTTGAAATTATTAGCATACATATAGATATTATTAGGTACCTCATTCTTCTTACTAACAAAGATTTTTAAGAACAACCATAAACAATCGTCACCAAAAAGTTTTAGATCAACTTCGAAAACTTGTAAACAACTTAAAAAAAAAACAACTGGTATTTGCAAATTAGGCTATAAAGACCAGAACTAGATCGCCTAAATATAGCAGAGATTAGTCATCAGAGGTACCAGGCGAACAGAAATGATTAGGAGACAACCTTCAAGCCAATTAGAATACAAAGCGACTTACTAATAATACGTGATTCCAATTCTTCGCGACCACAATGTCGTCGTAAAATTCTCACTAAACCATAACTCGCCGCACAAAAAACATTGTTCCGTTAATAAAATTGAGCAACCATTAACCGTATCACTTTCTTCAAACTTTGTTTTGCAAAAATGAGCGTTAAAAACAACAATTATATGAAAATACAGCGACGTTGGTCTGTTGAGTTGAGTAGTGTAAAATTACTAAATTATTGACATTTGACGTAAAGGTTCTGACTTTTGTTCAATCATTCAACAGTTCTTTGTTGGCGTATGAATGGAGGGAATTATGAGTTTTCATCTTTTGTGTTGCTATTTCATTTATTTGTGGACTTTAAAAAAGGATGTGTAATATATAATAATGCTATAAATCATGTAACTTCTACCGCTGGATCTGGAACGAAGCAAAGCAATTCTATTCTTTACACGCAGCTGCCTTTGCTGAATTTCTATTATTAGTCCTATTTGTTCTAAAATATCAATGTTTAAATTACCATCTTAGAGATTTTTAAATAATACAGTGTCATGAAATGAACCAAATATTTCATTATAAAAAAGTACATTGAGTTATTTGATTTGACCTCGATGTTTTCATACGAATATTTTTATTGTTGCACAACATACCACGTATAACGAAACGACCCGACATACAATTTTCATTCGATCGATTCTTTGATCAATCAATAATTCAGTTCAGACAGACAGACAGACATTTTGACAATTGACAGCCAATTTGTTATTATTTGTTTATTTTCTTGTGGTTTCTGCCTTCCGGTGTATTTCATTTTCCATAAATCCCTTGAGTTAAACTTTAGTTATTATTGTCGAAATAGGAAAATTCGAGCATAGTTAGCATTTTGTGACAGCGTTGAGTGTTGACATAGGTAGGCTTGTGGATAGGCCCTTTGGGTCAGTGGACGTCGTCTTATTATTTTATGCTTTAAACAATGTCTCGGAACGTCTGTTGTGTTCCGGGGTGCCCACCAGACGAAGGTACGTAGAGTTTTATAATATGTAATATTCTAATTAGCTTTTGCCAGTCCCTTCGTTCTTAGTCCCGTGGGATGAAAAGTAGTCAGTAAGGCTAAGGAGTCACGGCACGATTTTCTCCCGCGCCTGACGCAGTGCGGACCCACAACTTTTGTAGAATACAGATATGTATGGAAAAAATTAAAGCGATTATACGGGGCGTTTTACACTCGCGGCGGTTGCGATTGCGGTGCAAAGACGGGCGCGGCCGCGGTCGCGCAGCCGCGGCGAGTTACACCCGCGCGCTCGTGATTCGAGCGGCGGGCGATCACAATAAGACGGCCGATTTGGAACACAACTGATTGTTTAACCACCCGCCCGTCTTGCGATAATCACCATGCCAAGTTTGCGGCTGTAATCGCAAACGCGGCGGCAGAGGGACAACAGAAAACTCGCAGGCTCCTGAGTTTTGAAAATTCGGCCTCCATTCCGTCGCCGCGGCGGGCACGGGGGAAAATCGCGCCATGAACCCTTAGCCTTAGTATATTTTAGCCCCGTTCATGAATAATCCTGTTCCAAATGCATGCTGATCAATTCATCCATTTAGATGTGCTTGAGTAACAATCATACACATTTATAACATTAGTAAGATCTAAATTCATAACATAATATCACGCCTTTTATCTCCAAAGGGGTACGCAGAGGTGCACATTATGCCACTGTACAATGTAACACCCACTTTTCACTATTTATGTTATGAGTCTCATGTAATAGGGGGTTTAATTTATTAAAAAACCCAGTAATACTTTGCACAACAGACCCGGGAATCGAACCCGAGACCTCTTGCCCGGCAGTCTCACTTGCATTCATTTTTTTATATATGTGTATATTTGATGGGCCGACGTTTCACCTCTATCCCTCGTGGTGGCAAGCGATGATGCATTTCCTTTACAACATGGTGTTATAGATGTCATGATGAAATTAGACCGTACATGTTTTGCGTATGTGCACATAAAGATACATAGCATGCAAACTTACAGCGGGAGGTGTAATATCGCGTCATAATAAATTGCCATTAATGATTTGTAGGTATTGTAAAATAGTTTTAGCAACACTATTATATTTATATGTAATCATATTTAAAAATGTCTAATTATTTTATTTATTAATTTTTATAATTTCCTTATAATTTATTTATTTATTACACCCTAGAGGACATACAGCTAAAACTACATAAAAATAGAAGCCAACATAAACTACTGAAAGCCAATTACAAGTCCTCACGTATAGTGACAGACTTAAATTTGATAGGTGAGCATATTAAAATTTTCGCAGTGGTTACAGCTTATTAAAATTGTACAGTTTATTATACCAGTTAATTGCAAGGATCAACTAGAAACTAGTATTAACTAGAAACCTTTAGTTACAAGAATAAGGGAAAGATAAAAATATTATAAACATTTCCGGAAACTAGGGATACAATTGAGATGCTACTTAAAAAACCTGAGGCTTATGCGTCTTCTGGCCGACGCCACGCTAGTCGCAAAGGGATCAAAGTCATACTGCTTACATATATTATTGAACTGTCTATCCGCTCGTATAATAAAACTATTCTGTCTGTAATTTGTTGATGCTAGAGGCACACGTAAGGGTGGGTTATTGCGGAATATTTTTTGTGGTACATTAAAGTGAAATTTAGATAGAAGTTCGGGGCTGTCAACATTGTTATTTAAGATTTTTAATACGTACAAAAAGTCGGCAATCTCACGTCGATCTTTGAGAGGTAATAAATGATATTTCTTACAGAGTCGAAGATAATCGACAGAGTGATAAGGAATTTTTTAATGAAAACAGAGATATTTAATGAAACGTCTTTGGATGTTTTCTATGCGGTCGATGTACTTATGGTAACGTGGGTTCCATATCTGAGACGCATACTCAAGCTGACTTCTAACGAAGGTGCAATACAAAATTTTTAGTGTTTTGGCGTTATTAAAGCACTTAGAGAGACGCATAATAAACCCAAGCAATTTAGAGGCTTTTTTGATAATAGTGTCAACGTGGGTGTCAAAAACTAATTTGCTATCTTGATGAACACCTAAGTCACGGATGGTATCACACCTTGGCAAAGTCTGGCCCGATAAGATGTAGGTGGTGACTAGAGCGGCACGTTTCCTAGTGTAAGTAATTACTGAACACTTAGATGGATTCAGATCAAGTTTATTAGCCCTACAGTAGACTTCAAGACGATGTAGATCAGCCTGAAGTGCTAATCCATCTTCAACCGATGATATTTTGGAAAAGATTTTCATGTCATCGGCGAAACACAGTAATTTGGATGATTGAAGGCACAGATCGATGTCGTTCACATAGATCACAAATAGGAAGGGCCCAAGTAACGAACCTTGAGGCACTCCGCTAGGCACTGAGACCCAACTAGATATATAATTATTGATCACTACAGCCTGCGATCTATTATTGATATATGAGGAGAACCACCTCAAGAGGTCCCCATGAATACCTATAGAGTTTAGTAGTATAATATATTTTATTATATTCTGGTCATTTTAGTTTTAAGTTTGTTCAGTTATTTTTTTTTTGTTTTGTATTCATTGCATGTAATATTTACACTGTCTAATGTTTATATTCCATTTCCTGTCACAGGTCTGCAGGAAGAAATCCCTTAAGGGATATGCAGTACCTATGTATACCTCATGCTTGTAATATGTTGTCCTTTGTAATATTGTCTACTGTGCGGTGTAGGTACATGAAATGATAAATGAAATATTAAAAATCACATTTTATTTATCGTAGACCCAATAATATATTTTCAGGTGCAGTCCTGCATTACTTTCCGCACCCTGTAAAAGACGCTGAAAGATTCCAAAATTGGGTGAAGTTCATAGGAGGTGACCTTGCTGAACTGGACAGCGCAACAATACGGAAATCTAAAAGAATATGTCGTCGGCATTTTCACAGACAGTTTCTCTACCCAAGAAACAGATTGAATAAATTGGCAGTACCATCGTTGCTCTTGTTCTCACCAGATCTCTCGGGTAAATTGTTTTGATTTTATTAAACTGTCAAACACCAAGCGGTCACCGGTGACCGCAACCTATTGTTCTGTAATTGACGCGGAGAACCTAACGGGTAACCGGGGCTCCGGCTCGACGTGCAGGAGAAGGAACGGGGTGGTTTTTAGTCAGTAAGAGTCTGACACTCCCTCCCGCCTCACCCAGGCGGGAGCAGTCATTCGATGATTTTCCCCCCTTAAAAAAAATGTTCTATAATTGTGTCTATAATGACGGTACTCAACGAGTTAACAGTCTTTTTTTTAATCGGGCAAGCCCGCCACAGCCTCTCAAAACCGCTGCAACTCCTGTGCACCAGGATCTACAGTATATACAACCATGCAAACACCGGAACACTTAAGTCCAGCGCGTCCCAGGGACATGAATAACTGTCTTGGTTCCCGCAACGAAGTGAATCAGAAGATATTATAACAGGAGAAGAAAAAAAAATTATTAAGAGTCTATGTAGTTGTTGCTTTGGGTTGGCGCGCTCCATCGTAGACAGCATCGTCGCTGACCACTAGGCGAGATAGTGGTCAAACGTCGGCCCATATATGTATCTAATATTAGCTTTTACCCGCGGCTTCGCTCGCGTCACAAAAGGATGTAAAGTGGCAGTATATGACATACACCAATACACACAACGCCATCTATACCAATACTTTTGTTTTCCCTCGGGAATATCAAATTTTTCCGGGATAAAAAGTATTCTATTATTTAACCCGGACTTCTAACTTTACATCTGCAAAAATTCAAAGCAGTCGGTTTAGTAGTTACTGCGTGGAAGCGGAACAAACAAACAAACTCACTTTCCGATTTATAATATTATAGTAAGGATAAATAAAAATGAATCCCTTTTTCCCCTCGTCACGGCATCATGCGTGAATGGTTGGACCGATTTCACTTATTATTTTTTTGTTGTATTTGTTATTATTAGGAGAAGGTTCCTATGACAGAAACAATCCTGAAAATCCTACGGGAACGGGAGAAAACGGTATTGCGCGTACGAAGTCAGAAGCTAGTTTAACTCGTCGAGTACCGGTTTTGTAGACACAATTATAGAACAATAGGTTGCGGTCACCGGTGACCGCTTGGTGTTTGACAGTTTAATTAAAATATAAATAAATAAAGGTGTAAACAGAATAAACACTTTGAACAGCAATTTCAAACCAACTAACTATAATTATAATATTAAATATAGCTTTGTTCGCGTGAAATAGTGAATCACAGCGCCTCCCCCGTAGGTGATAGCGTAATGATATGTAGCCTATATGTTGACCCGACCTATTAGTAATATTCACGCAAAATTTGAAGTAAATCCATGCAGTACTTTTTGAGTTTAGCCCGGACATACATACAGACAAACAGACAAAAAATCTATAAACCACATTTTTAGTTTCGGTGCCGTTTGTAGATCACATCTCAAGCATTACGTATTATATATCTATTATCTATATTCTATATTATTATATATATATATATATATATATATATATATATATATATATATATATATATATATATAT